GGAACCTGCGGGGCTGGAGGAATATAGGGATGCTAGGTGGGTGCAGTGTGTATGACCTATCAGCGTTACAAGTTCTAGTTTTTATAGTCTTATATTTTTCTTTAATATTCACAGGGTCCCGCTAGCATGATGGCCTACTTAATAGTTTCAGGGTTTTTCCTTACACGTCTAAGGAGACCCATTGGTAAGATGACAATCACAGAACAAAAATATGAAGGGGAGTACAGATATGTCAATTCACGGCTCATTACAAACAGGTATGAATTTATTTGTTAAACTGTAAACAAAATCTTTGTAATATTGCAAGGTAGGTAGAAGAATCCTTATTCAAATGAACTCTTAAAAACTTAGTGAATTAATTTTGAGAAAAATGTTTCTAATTTTGTGGCCTAATTATTTCATAACTCCTAGCTGCATTATTTACTCATTTTGTCTTGTGGAAAATATTGTAATCTCATCTTTGATGAGAAGGTAATTTAAAATAATGTCTTTTATTAGTTTCATTTTTATAGCTAACTTTTTAATGCATTGTCTTTTTTTAGTGAAGAAATTGCTTTTTATAATGGGAATTTAAGGGAAAAACAGACGATTCACAAAACCTTTCATAAACTGGTAAGCGAACATAAAATACTAGATAGTAGCTTAAATGCTAAATTTTCACTTAACCAAACTAAGTAATATTGTCATGGTGGTTCATGATGCGTAATTTATTCTAGTCTCTTTGTTTTTTGCCTCAGTCTTTCCTTCAATTCAAAACTGTATTATGAGAGGAATAAATCTTACTGTAGTCCAGCAAACATGCACTAAATTAATCGTAGCTTCTTAAGGTATGTCTGCACAGGGATAAAAGACTGGCACGGCCACTGTTGACCTGGGACAGGTGACTTGAGCTGCAGAGGTAAATATTGCTGTGTAGACATTTAGACTTGGGCTGGAGCCTGAGCTTTGGGACCTTGCAAGGGTGGAAGGGCCTAGAGCTCAAGCTACTGTCCAAGTTTGAACATCTACAGAGTGATTTTTTTTTTTCCAACCCCAGGGCCCTAGCTCTATGAGCCTAAGTCATCTGGCCCTGGCCAGCTGTGAGTTTTAAATCCTTATCCAGACATATGCTTAGAAATTTAACTCTGAGATTTCCTGGATTTCTAATGAGTTTTGTTGAATTCTGAACTTAAAAGTTGGTGGTGTTGTTTGTCCTTCAAGTTTGAAGGTAACCATGACTTCACATATTGGCTTAGCTTTTTGTGACCATGTGAATGATTGATTCAGCCAGTTTGAGTTTTGAACTATCTGTGGCACACTGAACAAGAGATGCTATGGGTTTCTTAACAATGGACATGCTCCTGTTGTGAGATTTATGCTGCTGGTATTTCCGCTTCGCTTCAGTTGTTCTCTTCTCCTCATAGACTAAGTCAAGTATGGATGACAGTTTGTTAGGTGAAACAGTCATGAGTGAGATCTTCCTAGAGTCCTGGGGCAGTGTTGAAACAACTCAAGGGTAACTTAAGGGAGTCTTTGAAACATTTCTTCTGGCCTCCCTGAGAGCACTTTCCCGCCTTTAGCTCACCATAAAAGATCTTTAGCAATTGCTCGTCTGATGTTCTGGTGCCCTGGTTTGCCCATCTCATCTGCGATTTCATCAACAGAGTATGGATGCTTGGAATGCCTGCCCATATGAGAATCTCAGTATTTGGAATCTTGCCTTGTCATCATATCCTCAATTGTGGGACCTTGTTCATATTTTTTGAAGGTGTCTTAACAGAAGTGAGTTTGGAGGAGGCATTTGATGAAGTGGTTAATGATTTCACAGACTAATTCAAAGAAGATGTTCCACTTATAAGAAACTGTTATATATACTCTGGATTTTTCTTTGAGAGCTGCCTCAGTGGATGTTCCACGTTTGGTCTTGGTGCCGTCCCAGTGCCTGGATCGGAGATTTTGAAGCAGTTCCTGCATGGGCTGCGCATGCCAGTAGCCACTGCACATGTACAACCTGAACCCTCCAGTTCCTTCTCAGCTGTCCTCATCCTGAGACCGAGGTCCTCAGTTCTCTGCTCTCTCTGACATTTCTGGAATAGTTTTTCATAGTTAGTTAGATAGTTAGATAGATTGATTGATAGTCATTTTTTAAAAAAGAAGAAACTTTCTTTCACCATGCCTGGTTCTCCAGTTTTAAACACTGTGCTTCCTGAGGGAGGCAATGCCAGTTTCTGATGGACATTTTCAATGTCATATGTCTGTGAAAACATCATTCACCTTAGGACTGCTCTCTCTGTGCCAAACTTAAGGCCAGGGCTTTCAAGACAGAGATCTTTGCTAAAAGCTAATTCTACTTGAGAAAAATATGCACCCTGCCTCGGACCCAGGATCACAATCTAGGGAGGTATGATCACTCCCAGGTTCCCATCAGGGCAAAAAGGCACCAAAGAGAAGTTCCTCAGTGCCTCATCATGAACCCTCCTGTAAGAAATGGTCCCCTGGCAGTCAATCAGTACAGAGGTCATACATCAGTATCTGTGAGTCTCCATGCGCCTCAGGCACTGCGGCACTGTCGGCTGCTGCTGGTGCCAACCATAAAGGGTCCAAACAATGCCCTAAAGCGTCACTGGTAATCGCTGTGGTACCGATGACTACACTGGTGCCACAGTCCACAACATTGTTAACGACGACTGCAAGGGTACTGAAACCAATGGCCCTACTACTACCATCGGCACTGCCGATGAATCTGATGGCACCGACCAAATTAGCAGCACCGATTAGATACTTGGTACCACCAGTGTACCAACGGTCACTACCTTATGTACCGACGGTCACTACCTTCTGTACCGACCATGTCATTGGCATCACATAGACCAATGCTGCAGACTCCAGCACCGGATACTTACATCACCGCTGCCATATATGCGGCATGCAGATCTGGGGGTGACGTCTGCCCCGCAGTCACCTCTTTTCAGCATAGATGCATCTCTTAGACCCATGAATTCTCAGGTGGTGTCCCTGGTACCGTAACTGTTCTCCAATGATGAAGAGGAAGGCTTACAGGCCACTTCCTCTCCACACCGTAGTCTTCCAGTGAAGTACTACAAGCTGTGTTATGACCTCCGGGGATTTCCCCCGTGGTATGGTCACCACTGGATGCCTCCACTGGTGCTGCATCCTATACAATGGAGCCCTTGGGGTTCCTATAGGAGACACCATAGTTTGCAGACTTAGTCCCTACAAACAAGCTAGTTTTTATATACTATGCACAACTTCATGTGTGCAAAAGCCTCTCAATACAGAACCTCAAGAGGCTCAGGGTATGGAGGAACCACCCCTTGATATATCTCCTCTGACAAACTCCTTGTTTTCACCTGATGGGTCTGTGATGCCTCCTCACCTTCAACCGTGGATGACTTTGCGCACTTTAATGAGCTTTTAAGAGATTTGACACCTGAACTCAAAATTACTGTAGAACCTCAGCACGAGCTCACAATAACATCCTCCAACCCATCATCCAAAATAGCCCTCCCTATCAATCCAGCCATTCTGGACTCTGCCAGCATGAATTGGCAAACTCTTGCACCGATACCACCTATGTGCAAGAGAGCTGATTAAAAAATACTATGTACCCGCTAAGAGCCTGGAGTTTCTCTTTACCCATCTGTCACTGAACTTAGGGGTGGAAGCTGCACACCAATGGATGAAGCAAGATCTCTTCCCATCACTCCATCAGACAAGAATAGTAAGATATATCTCTTTGTTTATAAGGTCTAGATGTCCTGAATTGTAAAGTTCAGGATCTCAAACTATGCGGCCCCTGTTGGCAAAGTATGATTTTAGAAATTATTATGAGCTCATGGACTTTGCGGATGACGTTCTGGAGGCAGAGAGACCTCAGTTTATAGTAAGTCTAGTGGATGGGCAGGTTATTTCCTGTGTTGCCTTCCAGGTCGTGTTTGATGCCGTAGACACAGTGGCTAGCACCACAGCAACCACTATTGTCGTGCGCAGGGCCTCTTGGTTCTCTCCTGCTATGTTCCCATGCCAAATACAATCCATTGTTGAGGATTTGCCCTTTGATGGGGCAAGGCTGTTTGTGGGCAAAACTAAGTCCTCAATACTATGAAGGACTCTCGTGCCAACCTTCACACCCTGGGTATTCAAGCTTGACATATAAGCCTCTAAGACGGGACCCCGTGTTTCTCCTGCTTACTATACTTCACTAGGTCAAGACATCTCCCCAACCAATCTTTGCATGGGCAGGTTCCATTTCTCCAACATTGCCCCTCATGAACAATCACTACAGATGCTTCATGCATGGCTGGGATGCTAATCTCCATGACCAGATCACTCAGGGCCTCTGATCTACTTGAGATGTGCTTGCACATAAACCTGTTGGAGCTGCACGCTGTGTGCAATGCTTGCAGGAATTTCCTGCTTTCCATTACCAACAAATGTGTATGTCCTTACAGACAACATTGCCTGAGTATTCTATAACAGGCAAGGACGAGCCAGGTCTCGATCCATGTGCATCGAGGTCATAAAGCTGTGGAATTTTTGCATCAACCACAAAATCCACTTTTTGGTAGTTCACATATCAGATATTACAATGTAATGGTGGATGCTCTCAGCAGAAATTTCCCTCGGCATCACGAATGGGTATTCAACTCCCCAGTAGTATGCTCCCTGTTCTGCAAATGGGTCGCCCATTGTTAGACCTGTTTGCAACACTTCACAATACCAAATGCATATGGTTTTGTTCCAGAGTGAGTATCAGGAAAGGATCTCTTGAAGACGCCTTCCTCATTCCATGGAATCATACACTCTTACTCCTTTCCCCAATACCACTTGTTGCCAAAGTCATTCTAAAGATCAGGACAGATGAGGCTAACGTTGTACTAAAAGCCTTGCCTGGCCAAGACAACCATGGTATGCTCAGGATGTCAATTCGCCCACCCATCACACTCCCTCTCCAGCATAATCTCATCACTCTGGGTTGGACAAAACAAACCTACCTGGACCTACGTAAGCTGCGTCTAACAGCATGGCTTTTCCGTGTTTCTCGCACTCTTAACTAGGGCTTTTGGAGCAGGTATGTGCAGTCCTCCTCCAGAGTTGTAAGGATTCCATCTGTGCCTCCTGCACCTACAAGTGGAAGCGCTTCTCAACATGGTGCACCTCAAAAGGGTGCATCCAACGTTAGTGCTCCTATATTTTATCCTGGACTACCTCCTAACTCTTAAGTAATCATTGTTTTTCTTCAGTTCTATCAAGGTACACCTAGTAGCCATTACATCCTTCCACCACAAAATTGAGATGGTCCGGTTTTACTCACTCTACAATTTAAAGGTTCCTAAGGGCAGCATCTCCTTCATCCTGATATCATACAACCTGTATTTTCCTGGGACCTCAGGCTGTTACTGCGAACCCTGAACAAACCACCCTTTGAGCCTCTTGCTCTCTTTCACACCTCTATGTGAAGGTTGCATTGCTGGTTGCCATCACATTGGCTTGCTGCATGGGAGATATGGCGGCACTCGTGGCTGACCCACCTTTTACAATATTCTATTTGGATAAACTCACCCTTCACATGCACCCAAAATACTTACCTAAAGTTGCTTCATCATTCCATATAAATGAACCAGTGAATTTACCTGTATTTTTCCTGAAGCCACATGCAAACACATTCAAGACTTCCATGCATACGCTGGATGACAGGCAAGTGTTAGTACTTTGTAAGTAGAATGCTAAGCCCTTCAGGCGAACCCCTCACCCCTTACTTACATTGTTTGAGCGGGTTAAGGACAAGCCTATTGAAACAGGATGTCCAAATGGCTCACCAACTGTATAAAACTTTGCTACACTCTCAAAGGCCTACAACCACCTTTACGATGGACAGCTCATTCTACCAGAGCTGCATCTTCTTCCACTGCATATCCACACAGTGTGCCACTCGTGGACATTTACAAGTCAACCACTTGGGCATCACAACTTAGCAAAGATAAGTACTATGCACTTTCTATGGGGTCACAGTTAACACTTCGATGGACTCTGCAGTTCTGTCATCGGCCTTCCGCAATATTTTGAAGCTCCAGCCACCACAGACAGAAACTGCTCGTTAATCACCAAACGTGGATCATCCACGGAGACACATCTAGAAGACATGAAGGTTATTAATTTGGTGCAGTAACTTGAACGATTTGAGATGAATGTCCCTGTGGATGCTCCACGACCCATCCTCCTGCCCTCTGCTTTGGACTTGGAGGGTCTCCAGGGCAGGGAAGGAACTGGAGTGCTTGGGCTGTAAATATGCAGGACCTACTGGCACATCACGCACTGCTTGGCAGTGTGCACGTGCAGCCTGTGCAAGGACTGCTTCAGAATCTCTGACTCTGGTGCCAGGACAGCACCAATCAAACGTCCACGGGGACACTCATCTCAAAGAATTCCAGTTACTGCATCAGGTGAGTAACCTGTGTTTCTGTGATTTCCACTCTAACTCATCTGATGAAGTGCATTTTATCCATGAAAGCTCATGATATACCGTAATATTTTTAATAAGGTGCCACAGGAGTGCTCATTGTTTTTACAGTACAGCTAAGTGTTTTAGCAGTTAGGTTCAGCTGATTTTATTTAATATATTTTCACTTCCTGATTATTTGAAACTGTAGATAAGCTATTCAACAGCGACCTTTAGTTTACTAGCCACATCCTTTCTACCATTTGCAAACTTTATTTTGTAAATTCTTATTTACTGTTGTTTGTGTGTTGTTTCTGATGACATTGTCAGCACTTTGGGTAGGGACTTCATGTATCTGGATTTGCTCAGTACCTAAAACAATTAGAACACCATCTTTACTGGAGTCTTTGTAATTTACTGCAAAATAAATTTGTTTAGAATTAAATTTGCCTCTCTATTTTAATTGCATGGAGCATGGAAAGTATCTGTGTACACTACATTTTTTTCATGTCTGTTTTTTTCAGGTGGAACATTTGCATAATTTCATCTTGTTTCGGTTTTCTATGGGCTTCATAGACACGATCATAGCCAAATGTAAGTGTTTTCCCCACGTTGTGGATTGCTATTTATAGTTGAGGTAGTTTTACAACTATTTTAGTGAGTGTTCATTTTATGTTGGGATTTAACTTTTCTTGCTAGAAAACATTTACTTTTAAATATTGCAGACCTAGCTACTGTGGTTGGTTATCTGGTTGTTAGTCGTCCATTTCTGAACCTGGCTCATCCTCGCCATCAAAACAGTACCCATTCCGAACTTCTGGAGGCAAGTAATGCAGAGTAGATGTAAGTAAAATATAGTAATTGGTTGAATTCTGTTGTTTTACATAAGTAAACATGGTTGTATTTTGCTATTTAAGGATTACTACCAAAGCGGAAGAATGTTATTGAGAATGTCTCAAGCGCTGGGTAGAATAGTCCTCGCAGGCCGTGAAATGACCAGATTGGCTGGGTAAGCTTGGTAACTGGTATTCACAGCCCAGCTCTCTACACTCACCCAACCCCCCTCTCTGGGGTAGGCAGCCCCTGGCTTCCCCTCAGTCTCCCAGGAGACCCAGGCTGAAGAGTGGCAGGCCTGGCTTCCCTCCGGCCTCGGCTGCCGGGGGCTTGGGTGGGGCCGAGACTGGCCTGCTCAGCTCACTCCCTCTGGCTACTGTGGGGTTGGGCTGGGCCAAGGCTAGCCTGGCTCTCTCCCTCCAGGCATCAGGGAGAGGCCAAGGCTGCCTCAGCTCTTACCTTTCACCCCCAGAGGCTGAAGTTGCCCCAGCCCTTGACTCTCCCTGCTACTTTGCTCCCCCCACCCCCCCAGTGATAACAGCTGAGGCCTGGTCATTCCCAGTTCTCCCCCCACTCCACTTCCTGGCCATGGTGGGGGAGGCCGTGCAGCTCCCGGACCCCCTTGACACCCAAATCTCTGGAGAGACTGGGAAGGCCGTGTGGCCAGGGCCCTCAGCACAGGTGAGGGAGGGAGGGGAGGAGGCTGGTTGTCTGAAAGGGGGGAGGAGGCTGCGGGATGCAGAGTGACATAATGACATCACGCTGTTAACATACAGGAAAAACATATATAAACACACACACTCTCTCTCCCATAGCTTTTATTTATAAATAGAATCTGTTACCCATATTGCCAGTGTAGCAACAATATAGACATTAGTAAGCATTTTACTGAGAGAATATTAGGGAAAACTAATGTTTTCAATTACACTAGTAATTTCTGAGGCTATTAGCTGCAGATATTTGAATGTGAGTTCAACAGTGATGGGCAATATGTATAATGTTTTATTTCCATCTTAATGTAATATTGTTTAGAGAAAATTTTAATATGAGCGTTTTTTATCTTAAAGCTTAACTTTCTAAAGTATTAAATATTTCATCATTTCACACTAAGGGCCAGCTTTGTAAACTGTAGAAGTTAGGAGAAACATTTATTAGAATTAGGAGGCTCTTAATTCAGTTCTGGAGCAAAACTGATTATATTGCAGTTTTGCAATAGCCAAATGCTTGAGGTATCCAGCCCAAGACATACAACAAGAAATAAACACGTGTTTTGAAACAGTTTGTGCTCTAAAAGTGCAAAAATGTGATTCTAGTTCTTCCTTACTATGATTTAAATTTTGACAATTTTTAGGGTACCTATTAAAATTTTATGTTTCTGTATAACAATGAAATCTTTAAAAAGTTTCTAAAAATTAATTCTTAATGTATCTTTAGCTTCACAGCGCGAATTACAGAATTAATGCAAGTATTGAAGGACTTAAACCGGGGAAAATATCAGCGTACTATGGTATCGCAACAAGAAAAAGGTAATTATGACAGAAGTTTAATGTACAGTAGTCACACCTTGACAGACACAGATCCAGTCTCCTAATTCTTGTTTCTTTTCTTAAATTTAAGATGGAGATAGAACTCAAACTATTCCCTTAATACCTGGGACTGGAGAAATTATCAACACTGATAATCTTATCAAGTATGTACAGTAGTATTTACTTTCTGTAATAATTACAATGTAAACCTGCTTTTTATTATTTCTGTATATCATTTTAATACAATTTGTTATATATAATGATATTTTATATCCATTTCCTTCTGTATAAGGTCTGCAGATTTTTTCTCATAATCCTCACTGCATATTCTACAACCTTAGTGTACTCTGCTGTGGAATACTGATACCACCTATTCTCCAGAACCAATCTCTCTTCTGATCTGTCCTGCTGCCTCTGCAATCTGACTACCCAAATGATTCTCTTCCATCAGTTAAACCACATCCCTTCCTTTCTAATATTCTCTATTTACATGTCAATCCACTTCATTTTGGAGTCGCTTGACAGCTATGGCTTGCTTCTATAATTGTTCTTGTGTTTTTTACAACCCGGTCAGCAACTTTTAGACCGTTAGACTTTTACAACCCTACATATGCATAGAAGAAGCTTTCAGTTAATGGTGTTGAGCTATCTTCTATTCTTTTATTAAATTTAAAGAAAAACAATCCAAGAAGCAGCTTTCCACATGCAACTCTGTATCTTTATAGCACCCGCTTCTGTTTTAGTATCCCTTTCTTCTACTGAGTAGATCTAGCTGGTAAAAATTATACATAATAGAAGTAGTAATGTTTCAATTTTATCCATAGGTTTGATCATGTTCCATTAGCAACACCTAATGGAGACATTTTGATTCGAGACCTTAATTTTGAGGTAAGTGAAGATATAAATCTTCATATAACCCTTCAAAAATGAAGGTGACTATTTCCTATAAACTCATTCTGTGTTAAGAACAAACAAAACAATCGAGAATAAGACAAAGGGCTTCATGCAGTGCTGGTGCTTTGTAATGCCATGTGCAGCCTGGGGCCAGATGGGAATCCCCTGCTGGCCTCATGCTTCTTGCAGTGCTTTCACCTTTGAAGTGTAGCAGCAGCCCTGGGACCTAGCTTTATGATTTTTTTAAAATTTCACCCTTTAAAAAATACAACTATCTTTATCTTTGCTAAGAGCTCTAGTGTTTTCAGTTTTTAAGATTAAGTCTTGGCATAATTCTACTTTAGGGTACACTTGTTTAAATTAAGAATATTTGTTATACTGGTACATAATGTTTGATAAACAAAATGATTACATGTCTATGCCTAATCTCACAAATGTTGTAACAGGTTTGCCCATTTAAATTTTAAACTTTAGTGATTTGACCTGAATCTTGATGTTATTATGTAGTACTTGTCTTCTGTTATTAGTGCTACAGTCAGGGTAGGCAATATGGTCTAAGCACTGACGGGCTAGCCTTCCAAGCAGGCAAAAGTAGAGAAGGGATTTTAAAAAGTAAGTTGATAAATGTAGTTGATTGGCACATATTTGGTTCTGTAGAAGGAGATGGGATTGGTCAGATGTTACTTATTTAATAAGACAGTTCTTTGAGGGGAGCATTAAGGCTGCAAGGACTCTTGAAAAAAGTATGATTTGAGGAGGAAGTGAGAAGGGCAAGACAAATTGCCTAAAGGGATTATAGGCCAAAGAAGAACATAAAATTCTTTCTCTCTAAGATTTTAAGTCCCCATTTACTATTTTTGTATTTGCCTATAGACAGATGTAAAAATGGACAGAACAAGTGCCTGCAAGTTCTTCAGGATGCTTTAAAAACATATTTTGTATTTCATGAGCAAAAAACTTTTTGAATTCTGTTGTTGTTCTTGAGTATTTGGAAAGCTAATAAGATAGCTCATGGGAGAGGGATCAGAAATTGGGGGTGGGGAGCTGTAATAGCAGGGATAAAGGAGAGACAGAATTGGGGGTGTGGGGAAAATCAAATGATTACCTTAGTTGTCTATATAATAATGTGAGCAGTATGGGGAATAAGCAGTAAGAACTCCATAATGCTAGTAAATAAACACAACTATTACATAGCTGGCATCACAGAGACTTGGTGGGATAATACACATGATAGAATACTGGTATAAAAGGGTACAACTTGCTCAGGAAGATCAGGCAAGGAAAAAGGGAGGACGTGTTGCCTTTATATGTTAATGTATACACTCGAACTAAGGTTGAGATGGAAATAGAACACTTTTGAGAGAGACTGGGTAAAGTTAAAGGGGTAAAGAACAATGGTGATGTCATAATTGGGATCTACTGCAGACCATCTAACCAGAAAAGAAGTGGGTCAGGCTTTTTTGAACTACTAACAAAATCATCCAAAGTGCAGGACTGGGTGGTGATGGAGGACTTCAGCTATCCACACATCTGCTGGGAAAATAGTACAGCGGGGCAGAGATTATCCAACAAGTTCTTAGAATGTATTTAAGACAGTTTTTTTTTATTTTGGAAGGTGGGGAAAGCAATTAGGGTTGCTTGATTTGATTATAACAAGTAGGGAACAACTGGATAACAATTTTGAAAGTGAAAGGTAGGTTGGATGAAAATGATCATGAAATGATCATTCATGATTCTAAGAAATAGGAGGAGGAAAACAGTAAAATAGGGTATGTCTACACTACCCCGCTAGTTCGAACTAGCAGGGTAATGTATGCATACCGCACTTGCTAATGAAGCCCGGGATTTGAATTTCCCGGGCTTCATTAGCATAAGCGGGGAGCCGCCATTTTTAAATCCCCTAGGGGGGGCCCCGCCATTTTTAAATCCCCGCTGCTTCGAACCCCGTGCAGCGCGGCTACACGGGGCTCGAACTAGGTAGTTCGGACTAGGTGCCTATTCCGAACTACCGGTACACCTCGTTTGACGAGGAGTAACGGTAGTTCGGAATAGGCACCTAGTCCGAACTACCTAGTTCGAGCCCCGTGTAGCCGCGCTGCACGGGGTTCGAAGCAGCGGGGATTTAAAAATGGTGGCTCCCCGCTTATGCTAATGCAGCCCGGGAAATTCAAATCCTGGGCTTCATTAGCAAGTGCGGTATGCATACATTACCCTCCTAGTTCGAACTAGGAGGGTAGTGTAGACATACCCATAGAGAAAATGGGTTTAAAGAAGGCAGACATTGGCAAACTCAAGGAATTAGTAGGTAAGATCCCATGGGAGGCAAGTCTAAGAGGAAAATTGAAGACAGTTGACAATTTTTCAAAAAGATATTATTAAGGGCAGAAGTGTAACCTATTCTACTGCATAGAAAGATAGGAAGTGTGACAAGAGACCACCCTGGCTAACCAGGAGGTCTGGAATGATCTAAAAATCAAGAGTTTATGCAAAGTAGAAACTAGGTTCGATTACAAAGGCTGAATATAAACAAATAACATAAGTATGTAAAGGCAAAATTAGAAAGATGAAGGCACAAAACAAGCTCTAAATAACTAGATACATACAGGATAAACATTCTGCAAATATATTAGAAGCAGGCAGGCAACCAAAGACCGGGTAGGTCTCTTGCTCAACGAAGAGAGAAAAACAACAGAAAATGTGGAAATGGTAGAGGTGCTTAACAACGTCTTTATTGTAGTTTTCACAAGAAGATTGATAGAAAAGCATGGAAATAGGGAAAACTTCAAATAGACTGATTAGTTGAGGCTAAATTTAATGTTTGTGCAAAGGATGACTTCTAGTCTTATCGGGATACTGGCATCTCTACAGCAGTGCAAATTTTCCTATTGTTTAATATTTGTATTTTATAATTGCTTTATATTTTAGGTTCGGTCTGGTGCAAATGTTTTGATTTGTGGGCCAAACGGATGTGGGAAGAGTTCCCTTTTTCGTGTTCTTGGTGAGGTAAGGAAATACTGAAATGAAATTTAAACATACTCCCTCTGTCTCTAATTTCTTGAGACATTTCCACTTTGTGACTTTTGTTTTCTTTTTGCAGTTGTGGCCTCTGTTTGGTGGATGTCTAACCAAGCCTGAAAGAGGAAAGCTTTTCTATGTCCCTCAGGTAAAGCAACATATCATAGTAGTAATTGATACGTGCATTTTTTTGTTTCCACTTTGTTTGATGACTGTTACACTTTTCAGTAATGCTGTAATAATCATTTGCAATTTAATCCCAGAGACCATATATGACACTAGGATCTCTCCGAGACCAAGTAATATATCCAGATACTGTAGAAGACCAGAGGAAGAAGGGGATATCTGACCAGGTAAAAAAGGCATTCTGTGCAATAACCATTATTTACAGCCATTACTTTCCCCAATTCTTTGTAGTGTGAGATGATACGTACAGGCAGGGTAGGAGCCAGGAGGGGAGCCCCAGGAGATCCCTGACACCTGACCTCCCCAGGTCCAGAAATTCCCTTGTACAGGTCGCAAGGGTGCCGGACCAGGATGGTTGATCTTTTATAGAATGTTGAATTGTTGATCTTTTATAGAATGTTTGAGATTGTTTGGCATAGAGGCTATATGTTTAAGCAGAGGTTTAAAATTGAGGACTGGTCAAATTTCACTGTTCATTTAAATTTTTCAAAAGTATCGTTCATTTTTAACTGCAGTGGTGTAGCAAGTAAGAACATTACATTTGTTTACATTTTGAAATGTTACTTTGGTACTGATATCTTGTGAGATAAAAGGATTTTAGTATTTTGTAGTATTATAGCCTACTATACTAATCTGACTTCTTGCAACATAAAGTATGTTTAGGTGTATCTGTAAGTATTTTTTTTGTTGTTTAAAGGTGCTGAAGGAGTATCTGGATAATGTCCAGTTGGGTCAAATCCTGGAACGTGAAGGAGGCTGGGATAGTGTTCAGGACTGGATGGATGTGCTGAGCGGAGGAGAGAAACAGAGAATGGCAGTGCGTCTCAATCTTATATGTACTTAAAAAAAATACAATAGATTAGAATAAGTAATCTAAAACTTAAGTGATATCAGTGATTTTTTTCTATTGTTTGTTCTTTAAAGAAGTAATATAAGGTTTTTAAAATTTTAGTGCTTATGAAAATAACTTAAATTACAACAGGTAGGTATTGTTTGTAATACAGATTTCTGAATGCTTTCTTATCAGTTCTACACATTCTCTTTTGTTATATAAGCAGATGTTGTAAAATATTGATTTCTTACCCTTGGAAAGTGTACAAAGAATACTATACAGTGTTCAGATTTCAGTGATGTTCAGTAAATTATGGCTAAATTCTTTTTCCTTTTAATTTTAAGTCAATTTCTGGTTAAAACGTTCAAGGCTACAGTTTTAATTCTGATAGTTGAGAACACTTTCTCCTAACAGCATTTACCATTATATTTGTAAATATTTTGGCATTCATCCTTTTTCCTCTAGCAAAAATCAAACCAGAATGATGATGATATGGCAGCACATACTCAACATTTCTGGATTAATAAGTAACCACATACATGTGGAAAGCAGTCCATATGTTACTCATACACCTAAGATTTATTGTATAACAAACTATTACCGTTTTTAAGTATTCATATTGACTGTGATCTGCCTAATTCTCTGCTAGAACACAAACTGACAAGACTGCAAAGGAAACTTTCATTGCACACTAGCTGTAATCCACTGTGCTTCAGTATTACTCAGATCTCTGAATATTGCATGGTAATGTACATATTACTGTATCTGAACAACTAAGAGTGATGGAATGGAATCATCCTAAAATGTCTTTACATTTCAAATATTTTATCTCCATTTTTAGTTGTAAACTGAAATACCATATTTTCCATGTGTGCCTTTTTGGAGAGAGAGGCAATAGTGCACCAAAACCGAAGTATTTGAGCAACTGTATAAATATTTCCAACCATTTGTTAAAAAGTTCTATATTTCCAGTAATTGCAGTAGTTCCAGCTCTTAAATGCTCATATAGATGATATGCTACACTGTTATAAAGATGAAGAAACTTACTTTGTGCTTGTGCTTTCTATTCACAAATGGTGTATTGTTTTGCCTCCAGATGGCAAGGTTATTTTATCATAAACCTCAGTTTGCAATTCTGGATGAATGTACAAGTGCTGTTAGTGTTGATGTAGAAGGCTACATTTACAGTCATTGTCGAAAAGTAAGTTTGTTTTGCTTCTGCTTTTTCTATATAGTGTTGAAATACACTTTGTGAATGTAATTTTTAATTTGAAAAATGTCAATTTGATAACTAAGTGCAGAAACAATATTAGATATTATAACATATATTTCCAAAACTTTACTAAAATGGAATCTAGCTAACACTGAAAAATAATCCTACACTTTCCCTATGGAAAAAAGCATTCTCAGCAAAACTCCCCCCCCCCCCCAAAAAAAAAAGGGACTTTTAAGTGGGAGATAGGAGTCAGAGGTGCTAGGTGAACTTTCAAACATATGAAAAAAGTGTTTTAAAAAACATGAAGTTTTAATTTATTTTCTATTACCTACCCTGTCCCCAGAATTCTCCATAAATAAATAAAGCTAACAACTTACCCTCATGTGAGATGTGGTGTGAGAAATATCAACGGGGTTGATTTATTTCTGGGGAAAGAGAGGAAGAGCTTGAAAATAGAGCTTATAATAGGAAACTCACTTTAAATTTAACAATAGAACAGTGGTATCCTTAGAAAGGAAGCAGAAGCTCCTGCAGGTACTGAAACCTTTATACAAATGCCTTTGTTGGGAGTAGGAGTAGGCCTGAAGAGCCTTTTGTAGTAGTTAATTTTGACACTGGACGGGCTCTCTGTGAAAGAGCAGCAGGTATTTCACTGTTTAAGTACTTCTATCATAAATAATACATGCTAATAAGGAAACATCTTATGGCATTGTTATTTTTTAAAGCAACCTAAATATTTCTTTTTAAATTATGTTGTTAACATTTGGGTGCCAGATGATACTGCTTGGTATTTTGAGGGCTTACTGTTGCAAAGTGTATGATAATGCATCCTCTGGAAAATCAACCCCCTTGACAGCTGCCTCTTTCAGAACAATAAAAAAGTAAAAGTTTTGTTATCTAGCATTCATTGAAAATGGGGATTGCCAGTTAATTGAATATGCTGGATGCTCGAACTTACTGTTCTGCCTCTGTCTCCTATCTGGAAAAAACTGTGGCAACCAACCCTTGCCTCCTTGGGAACGCCTGGTAACCCTTTCTCTCTCCCTACCCCTGAGCTGCAGAGCCATCCTGTGCGGCAGGCAGATAAGTGGGCTAGCTGCCCTCTGGCAGAGCCAGCTTAAGCTGGCTGGCTGGACAGGTTGGGAGGAGGGCACGTGCACGCCTGAAGCTGCCACAAGTATGGTAGTGAGGGGGAGAAATGACAAGAAAAGAGTAAATTCCTTACTGTAAGAGTCAAATAAGTGGCTAATCTGGGGTCATCATGAATACAAAGACAGCCTCCCCACCTTTTGATAATGTGTAAGATAATTATCATCTCGATTAAGGCCCATTCACAACATGGAATTTTAGCATAAATAAAAGTTCACCTCCACCTTCTGTTCTGTGTAGCTGATTTGTCAGTTTGTAATTTTTTTACCTGCTTTCATTGTATCCCTCTGTTTTAAAATGGTCATGCCTACTCACTTTCAGAATATGATCTGAAGAAGTGGGTCTGCCCCATGAAAGCTCATCACCTAATAAACTATTTTGTTAGTCTTTAAAGTGCTACATAACTGCTTTTTTGTTTTACCAAGATCAGACTAACACAGCTACTTCTCTCTGACTAAACCTATTTTGTGTTTCCTCTAATATGTGCAATACTGAGGCTATATACGCATAGTATAAATGAGTTAAGACATTAAAGTATTTGTGTTGATTGATATAAGCTTTTAGTTTCACTTTTTAAAATATTAAGAATGAGAGATTAAGGGAATTAGTTGAGTTTGTCTTAATGTTTTTATTCTTTTCTTACTGCAGGTTGGTATCACTCTCTTCACTGTATCCCACAGGAAGTCTCTCTGGAAACACCACGATGTATGTCATTTTTATTGTTGTTGATTATGCATTTAGCTTTTTTGTGGGTATTAAAGGGACTTTGAGTTCAGTTATATTCAAATGTCTTGATTTCCAACCAGACACTTTTTTTTTTTTTGAAAAGAGTGTATCATAAATATTTTCATAGTCCAGCAGTAGTATTTGAAGGAGTCACAAAAAGCTGTTATGAAAATCAAAGAAATTGATTGTCCTAAATGTATTCGGTAGTATTCATATGCAGTATTCACAGATTAGTGTTTCTTTCAGTGGATACAGATTTTAAAAGGTCCTGTAGCTAAACAAATGTGTATAACTTTTCTGATTAAGGTGCCAATGCACATGTTTAAAAAGGGCCTTTGCCCAATGCAAGATGTATTTTTAATGAGGGGCTAGCCCTTTATGCTCTATAACGAAGTACATTTTGATATTGTTGAGAATGTAAATTTTGTTAGTATGCAATGAGGGACAATGAAGAGAGCAGCTGAAGTATGTATGGCTTATAGTCCTCTAAAATGGTTATGGCAAATGTTTTCACTTCCAATTACAATAAGATATGATTACCCCACAGGTGGGGAGTATAAGATAGGTTCATGCAGATATTTGGGAAAAGGCATGTCAAACATTTTAAAGGTGGAGAAAATTTTACACCAAGTTCTTTCTCGTTATTTCATCTGTTATCATATTGCTGAAGTGGGTGAGGATTGTAATAAATAATAATTTAACAGATAAATTTAATCTTAGGCTAGAACTACACTATGAGGTTTTTGTGCAAAAATGGCACAGCGTCTCCACTTCAAGCACATTTTTGTGCAAGTAAATTGGCAGAATAGAGGGCTTTTGCTGGTAGACTTATTTCTTTCCCCACGAGGAATAACTCCTTTTTGCACTACAGCTCTTATGCAAAAAGGCAGGTGTGGATGCTCTGGAGGGGTTTTTGTGCAAGAAACTTGTATCAGAAAAAGCACAGGTGCTCTGATGGCCATTCTGTGAATGGCCATCAGAGCTTTCTTGTGCAAGAGTGTCCATGCAGTGTGGATGCTCTCTTGCGCAAAAGCACATTGCTTTTGCAATGCGCTTTGAAGTCTGGATACGCTTTTGCACAAGAAGTTTTTGCGGAAGATCTCTTCCACAAAAGGCTTCTTGCGCAAAAACCCTGCAGTGTAGATGATACCTTAGAATATAGGTAACATTTGAAGCTCTGTGGGGATATGTTTTTGCTAATTTTCATCCCCCAGCACCAGACATATCTTAAATCAATATTCATTTAACAAGCTTAATTTTCAAATAGCATATGTCTCGTTTCTGTTTTAGAGATGTAAAAACCACCCACAAAAGACTGGCCCGGGGGTGATGGGCTGCTCAGACCCTAGCCCCGCTGCAGTAGTGGGCAATGGCTCAAGTCCCAGGCTCTCTGACATTGAGGGGCAGGGGGGACTGCAGCTGTCTGGGACTGCTGTGGGTGGGATGTAGGTATGTAATAGTATAGTCAATAAACTGATTAACCAATAAGCAAAAGTGTATAGGTTATTGCTATAGACTACACGCATTTCAACCCCCCACCTCCCGCCAGTAACTTTTTTAGCAGGCTGGCCAGCAGCACAGCTCAGTCCTGGCTTGTGTTGGGACTGGGACCTACCCCTGCTGCAATTCTGTGTTTAAAGTGTATTAGGGGGCAGGCAGGCTGCCGGTCACAGTTCCAGCTCACATTGGGTCTAAGAGGTCACACCCCTACCCTGGACAGGCTGCTGCCTCTGTATCAGAGGCAGCAGTGCGGGGTGATAGGCAGCCAGTCTGCTAGGGGAGCTGGGTTTTTAAACTCTCTCTCCTGGACCTGTTCCTGCTTGGCACCCTGTACTGCTGCCTCTGGTAACAGTGGCAAGGGGCTCCTCGGGAGTGGGGTTTGGATTGCACTGGCTGCTGGCTCCACCCCAGGGACTTTAAAATGGTTGATTAACTGATAAGAATTCATGAGGTTAATCAACATTTTAATTAACTGATATTTAATATCCCTAGTGGGATCCAGCCGGCAGGGTTGGTTAACTGGTTACCTTGTGAGCAGGCCAATATGCTTACTGGGTAACCAGTTAACCTTTTACATCCCTATTGTGTATGCAAAAATATCCACAATTTCATACCTTATTTATGCACTAATTTCTTCAAATCTGCTATTTGGATTAAGTGACTCACTATATGTACAAGGTTTCTACAAATTATAATTAAGTATGCAAATTAGGCATTTGTCACAACTAACCAACTCCCAGTGATGAGCAGTATGACCAACTAGCAGATGATGGAGACAGGACATATGCAAAAAATCATGTAATTCCTCAGAGGCAGTTGAATTGACTAAGCTTTGTGATAAGAGATCCTATTCTGATCAGTTGAAATAGGGGGTTTAATTTTTGTTCTTTAATAAATGTCCTTATACTGTTTTGTTATGATGACAAAGCTAATACCACAATATATTTTTGTCTCTTGGTTGCTGATTCATTCCACAGTTTTACCTGCACATGGATGGTAGAGGAAACTATGAGTTCAAGAAGATAACTGAAGACACAGTTGAATTTGGATCTTAAAATCTATAAAGCTGCAACAACAACAGAGACTGATAATTACAGAGAACATGTAGAAAGGAAAAATACATAGTAACTAAAACTACTTGGCTTGTTTTTAAACAAATTAACTAGTTAGAGGATAACCCAAAGCAAGCTGTTAAGCATTTATTATTATGTAGGATATTGCTAATTGTGTATATGTTGGTTTAATTATTAATATGTACTAAGAATGTCCTTATTCTTGTGGTTAACAACCTGCCTAAATTAAATTGGGCTTAAATCAATGTAACCTGATTCATCCTGGGATGTAAACCATTTGAAGTCAGCTGATTTGACTTTTATGGGCCTTCCTTTCCTTCAGTGAAGAACTCTGTCAAAAATTAGGGTTGCTACCCCTCCTGTTTCTGGCAACAACTGTGGATTTTCACTGTCTTCTCTATGCATACTTCTGAACTATCCCATATGGTGCACGATGCCCTCCTATTTTAATAGCTACATCCTGCTATCCTGTACAGTGCCAGACCTGGGTAGAGGCCAAGCTTTGTGATGGGTGTTTGTATGTGCAGCATTTCTGGTGCAAGGTGGGCTGAATCCAAGTTGGCAGGGGCCTAATTCCATCTGCTATTGAAGAGATTAGGCCTCATCTCCTGTTGGATCCCTTGGCCCTTTCAGCCTGTCTGTCCTCAGATCTCCTCTGTGTGTCTCTCTCCCATTCTTCACCCTTTCAACAAAAGCAATGCTGCACTGTGTTCTTTTCCTTTTCTGAGGAAGGAAGAGGAGGCAAGTGGAGAGAGTTGGGAAGAAAATGAGATGGAAGGGAACTCAACAAAAATGATAGTAGTAAAAAAGGTATTTCAGGGGTCAGGGTGCTTGAATATTTTTCATTTGGGGTTGTGTAGGCTCCCATGACAGCTCTAGGAAATCGGAGTATGATTTTAGTTCCCACAGCAATGGTGGAAGAGGGAAAATGATTAAAAGACCAATCTGCCTGTTGAAGTCAAAGAAGTTTTGCCACCAACATTAATGGGCTCCAGCATTGGGTGCAAAGTGTATCCTCCTAAAATGCTTGGTATCCCTCCTTGAAAACTTTCTGTTGCTCAGAAGCAGACTTTAAACTGTCCTCTTTGCTCCCATTACTGGGATGTGGTGATGATCGACCATCCGAGTCTCTTTGTCCCTCTTATTAACATAGGCTGTATGCCGTTCAGCTGCTGTATAAGTTTTGGTTTTAAGAAGGTGTGATGATGGTAGCCTCTGTTTTGCTTTCCACCGTTTTATGTGATGTCGGGGATGCCACATCTCAAAATTAATTAAAAGTTGACTTCACTTCCCGAGTGCTTTTTTAGGCAATTTTAATGTAAATTAGTAAATCATCATTAACGGTCCTCAAACAGAGGTACATGGATCACTAGTCTGTGGATTGCTGATTTTTTTTTTTTTTTTTTTGTATTCCAACTGTCAAACCTCATTAAAGGACAGCTACAAATACATTAGATGCTTTTCCTAATATTACTTTTCCATGTAAACAGTCAGTGTAGTTGCCACATGATTTTAAAGAAATCACAAATGCAAAAAGATGGTTTGTGTGATCAGGAATTGGAGACTTGTGGTCCATGAGATCTGTGTTGTCCACACTGTGGGGAAAAAAAAATCCCTGCCATACATTCTGGTGGCTCTGTAGTGTTGCACACGTGATGTAACATAGGAATGCACTACATGAAGACATGCACTAAATACACAATAAATGTGATCTCTGTAAATTTTATTTTTGTGTAAACAACATTTTATTTTTGTGTAAACAATATACACTTGGGTGTATATCTTCCTCTGAGTGATTAATTCAGCTCTGTGAATACTGAACACCATCTTTTATATTAAGATGGTTACTTTTTTTCCCTTTTATCTTTAAAACTTCAGGTTATTGCGTCTCTTGCCCATATTCATTCTTTCTCTCTCTCTCCACACAGACACACACACACACACTCTCTCTCTCTCTCTCTCCCTCTCTCTCACTCTTACGTAACAAGAAATACCAGTGAATTCATGTCTTAGTACACAGTTACCCACTGGCATAGGAGACATATTCAACAGCATCAGCAAAACTCCAAAAGGCATTTGTTTGAAGCTTAGCTTAATCCATTGATCACCTGACACCAAAATAAATTTTCATTCTGCAAGATGGCTGTTAGCTTTTTTTAAACCAGCTTTTAGTTCAAATTCTTAAAACACTATTATCAGACTAATTTATAATGATGCAAGTGATGCTGCTATAGGTGAGATTGTAGTGTTTTCGTTATAGGCCTATATTTTCAGATCTTGCCATAATAGCTGTTTTATGAAAGTGTTAACCAATTGCAACTTTTTTAAAAATAAATGATTTAGTAGCTTTTTTTAGAGAAACAAAACAAAGACTATTTCTCTACATACCAATATCTGTTTCTATTTTTTTGGCTAGAGAAAAATTTGCAGTAATGTAAAGTAATGGATTTGGGATATTTTTTAAATGTCATGAATTTTTGACACTAACAAGCAGAATATACTTAGAGTGCATTTGTATGTCATCCTCTACAGCAAGTTCAAAGAGGCCGACAATTGAAAATTGATTAGTAACAGCACTGAGCACAAACTTTTTCAATTTTACCTTTAAATACTAAACCAGATCTAGCATTATAAACCAGGAGAAATGGGCCTGTTCCTGCATTGTATGGAAGTCAGGTTGAGCATCAAAGGTCATCTCGTATAAGTTCTAATTTACATTGTGGATAAAATAAAGAATCACTGGATAACCCAGTGAGCAATTAAGAACATATACTAAAAACAATTTGGAAGATGACTTTTGACTACTGTTCTTTAATGGATTAAATAAAAGTACTTTAAAATATAAACTTTTATTGTCAATCAATGAAGAGATTTTAAATCTGGTTTAAATGATTGAATCTTTGTTCAATTATTAAATGGAGCTGTGGCATATTTTGGTTGTAGTTTTTTAATTGCTCAGGCTAAAATTTTGAAAATACATTATAATGAATATATTGATAAAGCATCTTCATATCCTCAAGTATGGAGTCTCAAGTGAGTGAACATTTCAAAATAGCATTAGTGGTAGTTGGAGATGATTGCATTTCAGTGGTTTGGGGAGATATTCATGTTTGTGCACATACTATAGTTTGTAAAGTGCTGTGAAAAGAAAGGCGCTATATAAATGTAAAACATTTAAGTGCCTCTGGAATAATAAATTGGAAGAGAAAGTTGCATTAGGCTTTTTACATTTGTTAATGGTGTAACTGCCCCAACCCCAAGCCTCCCCCCTGTCCCCTCAGCACCCCTTAGGGAGAGCTGAAGCTCCCTGTCCTGATTCATAGGGGAACTTTGCTGGCTGTTCTACTTTATCAGGGAGTGAGGTGAAGTGCATAGTTTGCTGCATTCCTCACTTTGCCAGAGGGGCATAGGGGCAGATGAAACTGGGCCTGCCCCAGCTGGAGGATATGCATTGTCTTGGAGTTGCATCAACTGGAGCTGCAGTGGCCATGAAGAGGTGCTTTTTACCTGGCCCCAAGCTGCTGGGGTAGTCCTCTCTCCCCAGGGCAGCCTGCATACTGAATCCCTTCTCCCCAGGCCCATCCCACAGCAATGATTAAAATGAAAAATGTACAAGCTTCATTTAATTTCCCACAAAAGAAAAACTGAATTAAGGACCCAAACAATGTGGGGTAAATCTTCTAGTTTGTTTATAAATTTCAGTTGTTGAGTAAATAATGTTACTGCTAGATACAAAATCTATTACAGCCAATATATGATAAACACTGCTCAAATAAAAGACTAATATTTTTGTGGTGTTGCTGCATTCCCCTATCTATAATGGTGGTGTTTTTTATTGTCTTAGTGAAAATATACAGTACTGAGGGTAACACTGGAATTGGACTCTGCTGCAGCGATCAGAGAAGTGAGATTGTACATTTTATTTCAGATTGCAGGATTGAGTTCTCATATTTGACGTGATATTACAGAACTGCAATGCAAAGCAGCTGAAAACTTGATTCCTAGAGACAACCCTTAGAGATCACCAGTTAACCATAACTAATATCTTGAAGTTGCAAACTGACCCCTGCATTGTCCTCTTTAAATTAACGAAGCTTTGCATAGTCACAGAAGTCCATGTGAATTAATCTCACTGCAGGATCAGAATCGAAGACAATAAAAGGTGATTTATTGTTTGTTGTTGTTGCAGTAGCACCTAGAAGCTCTACTCATGGACCATTGAATAGCTTCAGTATAGACCTTGTGATCTGTTTGTAAATAGCTACCCAAGATAGGCTGTGTCACCCAGTGCTAAGTCCCTGTAGCAGATAGCCATGTGAATTGTGCTGCCTGGATAATAGGACTTGATTTTTTTTTAAAGCCAATGCTAATATTTATGAAAACTGCCAGAATGGCAACATTGGAAATTGAGCATTTTTGTTGAAAAAGTATGGACAGACAGCACCAGTGCAACTTTCCCAAACTACTTTTCACTTGTGCCTGACTTGTGTTCTGAAATGATTGCCGTTAGGAATCAGGTAGCTGTCCTTCTTTGGCACCTAACATTTTTACCAGGGATTCCAGCTCATGTTGAAGGTAGTTTAACTTGTAATGTAGATGGTGCCAAGATCATATTAATCACCATTACATAAATTACAGTTGAGACCTTGTTGAATATGGCCTGAAGTATGCTTTGTCTATTGGCAGTGATAAATGGAATTTTCCCTTCTTAAGCTAGCAGTAACCATTTTCAACGTCATCTGATTGAGGGCCAAGGAACAAATGGCTGAAAAACATTGTCAGCACTTGATCATTTTCCTAGCATAGAGTGAGCCGGAAACAACCAACTCACTTCAGGTATGCGTTTACCCGACCATCAGATAGCCATGTCTGGGTCAAAATTTGAACAAATGACTAAGGGTACGTCTACACTACATGCCTCTGTCGCCAGAGGCATGTAGATTAGGCTACCAGGCATAGGAAAATGAAGCGGCGATTTAAATAATCGCCTCTGCATTTAAATTTACATGGCTGCTGCGCTGAGCCGACAAACAGCTGTAGTCTGGACGCGCGGCTGTCGACATCAAAGGCATTTGTCGACCACACAGGTATACCTCATCCCAGGAGGCATACCTGGGTGGTTGACAAATGCCTTTGATGTCGACACCCGTGCGTCCAGACTACCGCGCTGAACCGACAAACAGCTGATCGGCTCAGCGTGGCAGCCATGTAAATTTAAATGAAGCGGCGATTATTTAAATCGCCGTTTCATTTTCCTGTGCCTTGTAGCTTAATCTACATGCCTCGAGCGACAAAGTGAGCAATGTAATTTCTTCCTCATAATCTTGTGAGAAAATCTATCTAGCCCCTCAGTAATATAAAGTTAATAGGCTATGTCTATGTAAAGGAAATTCACATTGGTTCCTGCTAGGAATTTCTCCAGAGGAGATGTGGTTATGGTGGCAGCTTTAATTTTTTTAATGTAAGTAATATATTTTATACACAATATGGATTTTGATACCAAATACTTTTTGCTTTTGTAGAATTGTCTGATTTAACCCATTGAAGTAATTTTCTCTTCGTCTTGCTCCATTTGACCTCGTGCACAATGAGATCTAGTTTCACAATATTAAGTTGATTTTCAAAAATCAGTTTATCTTCTCCCGTCATACTCCAGCAGCCTGGGCTAAGTATCTAAAAGACTGCTGCAAGCTCCAAGGTTCAGAGCATAGACTACAACCCTGCTCTTCAAGGCACCCCGGAACTTTCTATGATAAGATTTATAGCTTGACTGTGCAAGTTAGCACCTATTCAACAGCTACTCTCAGACTCTATTGAACTCCAATAGGAACTAAGGAAATCTTCACCCTCTTCTGCCTTTCGGTGCCAAAGGAGCCCCCCCTCCTTCCAAAAACAAACCAGCCATACACAATTTTTCCTCAAGGGAGAGGAGAGCAAATTCTGTTGCTTAATGCATTATTGCCAGGTCTTCAAATACTACTGAAATAGTAGGGAAACGTAGGAAAAGTGTTCCGTGTATAGGTTTTTAAAGGAAAATGTCAAATTCCCATAGTTATTACTTTAAGGTAGCAAGGTAGTATTACACTTTTTAAATACAAATCATAGAATGCTAGAATGGGAAGGAACCTTGAGAGGTCATCAAGTCCACTCCCCTACACTCATTGCTATGTACAGGCAGTCCCCGACTTACGTCGGATCCGCACTTACGAACGGGGCTTTTCTCGCCCCGGAGCTCACGGGCGGCGGGTCGCCACCCGTGTCCTCCGGGGCGAGAAAAGCTTCTCACGGTCTCCCTGGTCTGCTGGGGGGGTCCAGCAAAGCCGCTGGACCCCCCCCTGTAGCTAACTGCTTCATTTCTGAATGCCACACTAGAAACACTAAAGATGCAGCATGCTCAGACCTGAGGTATAAGGGAGGAGAGTGAGTCTCTCTTGCTTTTCCTATCTGGGGTAGCTCTAGCAAAACAGGCATTCAAAGGGAATTAAATTCATCCCTCTGTAGCGGGCCAAATGAGAATGGTCCTGGAAGCATGATTTAAGTGATGCATAGCTGTTATTTACTCCCAGGAGAGGGTCAGTATTTAACACAGGAATCACTGAACTTATCTATCCTCTCCTTCCCTTTTCAGGGCTTGGGGCAATTATTCCCTCTTTCTGGACATAATCACTGTGTAGAGGTGAAAATGCCCTATGGCTCTGAGTGGAAGTAGTGGCCTAAAGCAGTTTC